CTCCAAAATATTATTACTTCTAAAGCATAGTAATAACAATAAACTATTTAAGAGTACTCAGAATTATGTTCACTTTCTATGTTAAAGTTAATAAGCCTTTAAATAACTGTTATCCAAAACAAAACTGCTTTAGGACAGTGGATGAAACCTACTAACCTTGTTCTTCCAAGAGGCAAGTTACCACTACTTTATCAAGTAAAATTAGTATGGAAATTAATATTTTTAGTTTTTAACATTTGATAGGCAACTATTTTAAATCTCAGATGTCATTTAATACAAACAAAATTCAAATACAAAAGCATGCTTGAAATTTTGAAATGTTTCTGAAATGAAACAAATTAAACCTTCAACATTGTTTTAAGTGTTACACTTACTAAATTTTATTACATTTTTTTATAAAAGAGGGAGGTTTTATAGCTTTCACTTTAAAATTAACCTTGGGAAAGGGAGAATTATATGTTTGGCTTCATAACAACAAGTAAGTATTAGGATGATTTTTTTTTCGAATAAGAATCATTAGGGAAAATTAAGGACGACTGAGGGAAGAGAATGAAATATAATTGTATAAATGGGTGGAACAAAATAATGGTGACTGAAAGAAATTTCATGACTTTAAATGACCTTTGAATTTTTTATTCCATTTAATTCTGCTTGGCTGTCATTTGTGTAGACAGTCTATAATTTTTAAATAGGCTGTTCTTACTCCCAATACCATTTGCCTATTTGCAAAGATAGAGGTATTGGATTTACTGCGAAGTGAATTCTAATGATAAAGCCAATGTTGATTTTTTCTCAATCTCCCTGCCCCCCACTTCCCTCTGCATTGCGAACCTGTAGCCCATCTAGGAAGCCTAGAACACCTGACCCCTTGCCACCCCTATCAAGTAGCCTTTCATGCATTACGGTCTGTGACCAGGCTTCCTTTTTTTTTTTTTTTTTAAATTTCAAATAAACTGAAATGTATCAAATAAAGACCAATAAAGTAATGACAGCCTCCACTGCTACTAAATATTGTAAAATTACATTTTTGACATTTGAAGTTGTCTATGCCTTTTTCTCCACCTTGTCTTGTGTCTTATGTGTCACATTAAAATGTTTAGGCTCTGGTGTTGGCCATCTTAAAGCGGTAGAAGGAATTGGTAAGATTTTACCCAGTTTTTGATGATGGAAGCTACAAGCCATTGTAAATTGTGAACAGAGTAGCCCAACACTAAGAAAGGCTCTGGAATTCTGACTGGAGAATGCAGCAAAATATTGGCCAGCATTTCAGTGTCCCATCAGTGCAGAGTGTGGTAACTGAAGTAGTAGTGGATGGGTGATTTTCTTGATCAGCACATGAACGATAGCATGCTTACTTCTTTATAATTTGTTCTTTGGGCTTTGGAGATTTTCTTAACCCAATTTATAGATTTGCCTGCTTAATAAACCTCTTAAGTTGCACATGAAAATCTAGGGAAACTTTCTCAAATAGCCTATCTTTCACCCTAAGCGGTAATTTCCACCCATAAGAGAGATACCAGTCCAAAGTCCTATTTGCTTCACTGAAATAGTTTTGGGTATTTTAACCCATGCAAAATGTCTTGGCATTTTGGTCTACTGACCTATGCACCTCTGTGAATTCATCTTATAAATAACTAATGTAAACATTGTTTTTTAATTGAAATCAGGGGCAGGTTTCTTTGACCCTTCTGATTTTCAAGTCACTGGTGGCATGAATGAGATTTGTGACCCCTTTGGCTTCATTCTGCCTGTAGACTTTAAAGGAAACCCTGATGTGCTGACATCCATGGTCTGCTCTTTGCACAGTTCTAGTAGACTTTGCCAATTCACATGGGACTGGGCCCCTCTTGACCCCTGCCTCATTTTGCTCCTTTTTCTCTCAGACATGTAAAAGATAATCTTTGTATTAGAGTTCTCCCTCATTTGGGTTTAAACGTTGCCATTTTTCTATCATGTAGTAATTAAAATTTTTTAAATAAATAGTTGAAAACTAATCTATACTTTTATTATATTTCATATATTATTTTCACAAAAGAGATTTTCACATTTTTAGAAGTATGTGTACACCAGATATAAATTCATGAAATAGTCTTTTGTAGAAATATTTCTTCCTGTTCTAGTTTTCATTTCTGAATTTTATATTGCATTATTTGATTGACTTTTAAATGAATTTCAAAACTAAAATTCATATAATGGCATCAAAATCAAGTATAAAACTATATAATCCTAAGTCAATAATGCTATTTTTATGATAAATAATAAAATTACACATCTTGGTCACTAGCAAAGAATTTTTTTTCTTTTTAAAATCCTTATTTATTTTGTTCAAAATTTTCATCTGTGTTGTGTCAATTCTTCTTAAATTATTGTACAATTATATTGTGATTCTCCTGTGTTTCTTTTAATAAGCATTCAGGGGTCTAGTTTTGGACTTTGATTGACAAAGTCACTTGGATTATGCTTATACATTCTTTGATGTACGTATACATTCTATTCTTTGGATTATATATTTAGTAATGAACTTAGAATCATAGGAAAGATAAACAGGGAGATAAAAACGATACGATACCTAAGTTATACCAAACATCCAGGTTTGGGTGATGCATACCTTGAATCCTAGCACTTGTGAGGCATAGGTAGAAGATCATGTGTTTGAGACTAGCTGGGACTACCAAACAAGTTGTTTGAAAGTTTCAGGTACATAATGATCCCTGTCTCAAAAAAAATCATACAAAAACAAAAGAAGTTATGCAGTTTTCTATAGGTTTGTAACCAGTTTAAACTTCCATACTTATTCTTAGCATGGAAGTTCTAGTTTTTGCCACATCCTTGCCGACACTAATCATCAGTGGTTTCATCTTAATCATTCTGATAATGTGTACTAGTTTTCATTTTCATTTTTCCTGCAAGGAATAATGTTAACTATTTTTTAAACCTTTTCATTTGTTTAAATGCTATCTTTTGTGCTTGTTCAGGTCTTTTGCTCAATTTTCAATTAGGTTATCTTGCTTTTATTTATCGGTTTGTAGACATTTAAAAATATATATTTTGAGTGATGCACACCTGTAATCCCAAGCTGGGGAAGTGTAGACAGGAGACTCAGGAGTTCAAGCCTAGAATTTTCTAAATAAATGAATAGGTGTAACTCAGAATTTTCTCACTAATCTTTGATGCTTTTCCATACTGTCACTTAAAAAGTTGATGCATATGAGAATGCAGAATAAATGATATAATTTTAATATATGAATAGTATATTTCTATAAGTGAACTAACATCCATATATTTTATTCCTTTGCTGTTTAATGGAAATATATTGCTGTGCTGAATATCATTTTTTGTAGCAAGAGTATAAATAATACTGATTTTCCTTTTGGGTAGAAAAAATTTTACTAGATAACTCTACAAATGTCTCCAGTTTAAATCTGCACACCTGGCAACTTCTGATAAACAGTTTATACTGGGGCTTCAATCAACACATCATTACCTGTATATGTTTCCTTTAAATTCAGCCTCTGTTTCCTCCCAGTCCCAGGAGGCTCTGGTTACCTTCAAAGTCCTTAAGGGAAGGCTGGATACCATACTAAAATGGACCCTATATTTTCTTTATAAGCTTCTTTTATTTCTAATGTCCCCCTCTATACTATGTTTTCTGATCAGCGGATTCTTTTTATTGCTTTGTTCATGATTCTGCTTAAACTACTCCTCTCTCAAGAGGTATAATGGGTGTTTGTTATGTAAGAGAAATATTTATGTTCAAAAGTAGGGTAAGTCTGTTTATTCAAACAAGAAGTCTATTCGAGAACAAATGTCGGCCTGATTTTGAGATATTTCTTAGTGTTAACAGAACAATCACCTTTCATAGAGTCCATGCTTGTATCAAATTCTGACATTCAAAGCACAGTGTACATTTGCATCCTCTCTGAGAAATGAACTAACCAACGAACACTGAATACTAAACATCAAACATACACTGACTGCAAAACTTTACTAAGGCGCCATCTTAATAATTTCACGTGCTTGATAGAACATCTAGGCATCATACCAACTCTTGGAACATTTGTGTTTGTGAAGGTTGTTTGATTACCATGGGCGTGTACCTCCACCTCCTCGAGCTGTCATCCCACTGAAGCGTCCCAGAGTGGCTGTTGCAACCACACGCAGAGGAAAAGGTGTCTTTTCCATGAAAGGGGGATCCAGGTCTACTGCTGGTGGGTCTTCTTCATCAGGCTCTAAATGTAAGTAACACTCTTGTTTTATTTCCCTGTAAATAAAGTAGGAATTAATACCATTTCGTGAAGGGCTTAGCCAATGAATTAACCAGGTAGTTATTAGAGCAATAGTGTGGATAGTTGTCTAACTTAGTTTTCCATCACATGGTGTTACAATGGAGAGAGAGGCACAAAGGTGACTTTCATAGAATTTTATCATAGAAAATCATCATATTCTCTCAGCTTAGTGGATAATACAGCAAATTCAGAAAATATTTTTATTAAATTTATTTTATTAAATTTATTAAATGCTGCATTTAATAAAATAATAACCTTACTTGAAATTTTATGAAGCATAACACTGATTAAAAAAAAGTATACTTTGAATATTTTAGCATTTAGAATAATTGAAATTAAGGTTAGGACAATGACACAGTAGAGGTTTTAAAATACAACTTACCAAGGATTCTAAAACATTATGAGGGAGATAGATCTGAAAATATATTCCATTTCATAAAGAAGTAGCTGGGAAGGGTGATACAAGCCTTCAATCCCAGGACTCAGGAGGCAGAGGTAGGCAGATCTCTGTGAGATCAAGGCCTGCCTGGTCTGCATAGTGAGTTCCAGGTCAACTGGGGCTCCAGAGTGACCCTGTTTCAAAAAAATAAGGATAAAAAATTGAAAATTACTTGCAAAATTTCATAGCAATCAGTAATTCTCAGATTTTTGTATTTTGATGATTGCTAAAAGAAAAATAACTAAATGCACTGTTAACCTTGAGATTATATTTGAACACAGAAGTAGACAATGAATTTGTATGGCTAGTGTATGAAAGAAAATTACATAGAAATTTGGGAGAGCTATGGTTCATCTACTGCCTGTGACTATCTCTCCCTGGTGACATTTGAGCATAAACCTGGAGGAACTGAGCAAGCAAAAAACACACTCTGAACCCGTCAAGGCAGATCATTGTGGGGCAAGTCAGAATCTAACTGTAGTAGTAGAAGATCACGGAAGCCAGTGTGGCTGGATGGAAGCAGGACAGGTAAGCTGTCATTGGAGATAAGAGTATAGAGAAAGTTCCAGGGTAGCTTGGTAGAGATTTTGCATATTCCACATCACAAGCCTTGAAAACACTTAAGGCAACTATGTTTACCCCACTTTTATTGATGAGAAATGCTGGAAGGCTTTTTTTTTTTTCCCTTGTGGACATGTGAACAGAGGTCTGTTTACCTCTTGTAGGTCACCAACAACAAACCAAAGAAACAGTTCTGCACAAGTCTAGCATAGGTAAACAGTGAGTTCATCTGCATGACTTATAGGACATCAGGGTTAGTTACAAGGACATGGATGACACAAAAACAGCTGCATCACTGGGCCTATCCCAGCATGGATGATGACTGGAAAGTTAGATGCCTTGAACCTGGAACTCCCTGCTTGCAGGCAGCTCTGCTGGTGGATGTCTCTCTCTTTCTCACCCCCCCCGCCCCCATCCAGCACTTGATACTGCTTATTTAACCTTGAAAAGAGGCCTTAGGAATCTTGTACCTTGTGAGGATTTGTTAGCTTCTATGTCTGATGAGCCTCCCTCCAGGAAGGAGTGCTTTAATTCCAGGAAAATGACTACATGAAAGAAAACAGTTTAAGAAGCTAGGAGACAGTAATCAGAGCCACAACCTAGGTCTCTTATTTGTCATGCACAGATGAAGATGCTGCTACACACTGCATGTGTGGAATGAAAATATGGAAATTTCCATTCAGAAATATGGAAAATCATTATTAAATTCCTCTGTTTCTACAAGAAAATCACCCTCTCCCCCAGATCAAGAAGCAGATAACAATGCTTCCTAGATATTTTAAAGTTTGGTGTGCTAAGACTTTCATTGAGTAGTTGCCTTAGTTAATATAATTGCAAGAGCAACGTAATAAGTTTTTTGGTCTTTGTGAACTTATTTATCAAATCCATTCTGTAGGCAGACAATATGAATTCCTTTTTGAGTCTTATCCATGGAATTACTGTCTGGTGCAATACCTAAACATTCCAATATATCTTTAGAGTACAGTTTATAATAAGAAAATCCCTGAACTTCGTTTTTATAGAAATGTAAAAACTGGGACTGGAGACATAGCTCAGTGGTTAAGAGCACTGGCTGCTCATCCGGAGACCCTGGGTTCAGTTTCCAGAACCCACATGGCACCTAACTGTAATTCCAGTAACTCTGTAACTCCAGTTCCAGGGGATCTGATGCCCTCTTCTGACCTCCGCGGGCATTGCACAACACAGGTGCACTTAAGTACATGCAGGCAATACACTCATGCACATAAAATAAAAATGATAAATAAAATATTTTTTAAAAAGAAATGTGAAGACTGATTTGTATGCTAGGTTTCCAACATTTGTTGTAGTAACTTGATTTCAAATAGAATTATCTAAAGCACTCTGAAGGTTTTGCCCAAAATTCAATGGTAAAGCAATCCATCAGTAGAAGCATCACCCGTGTCTAAACAAACAGTTCTGCCTTGACAGCTTCCTGAACTCTGCAGAACAGTTAGCATCCCTCAACCCAAGCCCTACAGTCCAGTAGCACTCTTCAATGAAGTCTGTGGCTATGGTCATGCTTTCCAAATGTCTTCTAGGAAGATGATATCTCCTAGTTTAGAACACTGATTTAGGAAATACTTAGCTTACCTGTGGCCCATTGTCTGACAGATGTCAACATATAAAACCCAACAGCTCAGTTGTCATGTGTCACCAAGAAGAGCCTGAGAAAGAAGATGCTTTCAGGGCTATTTTGAAGCCAAAATCTCAGTGTTCAGATGACTCAGTTTTCCTCTCTCTTTTTCTAACTTCCAACTTTATTGTATCTTTAAGAGAGGATGAAATCTATAGATCTCTTTTCATAATCTTATTAAGAATTTATCTTGGTTCTGTAAAAATCTGATTGTCACACAGCCTGTGTTCTCCTGTGAATGAGGAAGCAGGAATGGCATTGGATTACAGACAGGGTCAGACACGTCTTCTTTGAATTTGCTTTTGTGGTAGTAGATTTATATGACCAGTTCTGATAGTGAACTGTTCAATCATGGAAGGATTTTATGAATTTGTTTTTTCCTAAAATGTTTTACATTCTGCAACCCTTGGATGTTTCCATATAATTGGAGACAAATATTATCTACTTCTATTTCATATTTATGATAGCCATTACTTCAAGTACTTTACATGCGAATTAATTCATTTTGCATGAATATCCTGTCAATATTTTTATGCTCATTGTACAGGTGTTGAAAATGAAAACCATCCTGAAAATTACAGAGCTCTTAGTAGCAAAGGCAGGAACCACAACCTGGTGGTATGGCACATCACATGAGCAGTTGAGTTGTGCTTTTCAACAGTTTTTCTATCACTTTTTTTCTGGAGAACTTTAAATTATATAAAAATTTATTTATACTACTCCATTTACTATTTTTGTGATGCTTAATTTTATGCTATTCAAGTGGATCTTTTGGGTTGCATTTCCTTCTTGTTTTCTGCCTTTCTTCCTGTATCCATTTCTAGAGGTGCTGTGATAAACTGTGAGATGCTGAGCAGATTAAGGGCATTGAATTTAGAGGCTAAAGATCACTGGAATCTCTGGGCTTGACAGGATCACTCCAGCCTCTGCCTCTGCGATCACATAATGCACGCCTTTCTGGTTTTGTCTGTTCTCTTCTTTTTAAAAGAATACTAGTCATGTTTCATTGGCTCACCCTAATGATTCATCTTGATGCTTTCTACAAAGGCCAATTCCCAAATAATGTTATATTCAAGGTATGAGGAGTTCTTCAACATGTCTTTCAGGTGGATATATTTCAACTCTTAGCACTTCATCTCTGCATTTTTGTATATTTCCTTAAAATTATATGATAATATATAAATCAAATATCTGAGTTGGGTGTGTTTTCCATTTTTTTTCTGTTCAAGAGTTATTATGGCATATGTCTGTGTGTATACATATGTGTTTGTGTCTGTGTCTCTGTGTTGTATGCATGTGTATATGTTCATGTGTTTGCAGGTGTATGTACATGTGTGTTCACATGTATGTGGAAGACAGAGGCCAATACTGGGTATCCTCTCCTCTACCTCTCCACTTTATTGTTTTGAGACAGGGTCTTTTGCTAAAACTGAAGTGCACTGATTGGTTAGACTAGTTGACCAGCAAGCCCCAGAAATCCCCTTATTTCTTCACATCCAGTGCTGGGATAATAGGCATTCACTGTTTTACATGGATTTTTACATGGGACTGGGAATCTGAACTCAGGTCCCCATTCTTTTTTTGCAAATACTTTATCAACTGAACCATTTCTTTAGCACCTATTGCAACACATTTATTAGCATTTTCTAATGTTGGCTATAGCTTTGCAAAGCTCACTTGTTCTAGTGTGTTTTGTCTCTCGCTCCTGAGAAACAATATCTGCTAATTGCCTGCATTCCTGTAGAGCTCTGCCATCTGTGTGCATCAAGAAGCTTTGTTTTTCAGGCAGTGAAGGGTTTTACTTTTGTTTACCTGTCGTGTTTTGGACATCTCTTTTGTCATGTGAAATTACTTCTTTATTCTCAGGGGAAAACTGAGGTAGACTGTTCCCTCTGCACTGCAGCATCCTGTGTAAACTCCTCTATAGTTGATGAAACCATCACCTCTAAGTATTACTTATTCCAACACACTGGCTTCATTTCTTCTCTTCAGCCTAGCGGAAGTTGATGACTGCTGCCTACAAAGTAGGGCAGTAATACTCCTCTCTGATCTAAAGTTATTAGGTTTTGCTTTAATGATACATCTATTTAGCAGCATGCTAGACTTGGACCCTCCCAATGACCTGTGTCTTGTCTAGCCACAGGTTCCTTGGTCTGATATAAATGGCCTGATACAAATGTCATGTATGAGCTTTATCTTATGAAGCAGACCTTAAATCCAATAGAAAGTGTTTGGTTATTTCAAAATATTTGTGGCATTATTTCCCTATAGGGCACATCTTGCCAGGCCGGTTGT